ATTGTTGCACGGTGTTCCCAAACCTGGATGTTGACATCTCGCGTTTCTTTTGGCACGTCGCTCTATTTTCTGTTTCAGAGAGGAAGCGCTAATAGAGACAAACGCGGTGACACCTGCTCACCCATACACTTCTCCTTGTCTTTTTTAACGGAGCGATCAAAAGAAGCAAGCGCCGACTGAGACGGTGACAGGAGTCTGTTTTCATGTTCGGGATTCAAGACAGCATTCAAAGGAGCGGGAGTAGTATGAAAGAGGAGCCCATCGGTGCCGGGATGAACGCTGTCCGGACATGGATGCAGGGTGCCGGAGTGTTGGATGCGAACACAGCCGCTCAGAGGTAAGCCGGCGGCGGTCTTCAGCGCTACGGGAACAACTAGACGGAATATTGTGCGCTTATCATCCTGGGACGACACAAAACGCTCTTGTATATCATCCTAATCAGTGCGCGATATCTGCTTATTAATAACCAGGTGACAAAGAGATTGATTTATTGCTGCGATAAGTTCGTAGCATCCTCTTCGGCGTGCTGTTGGCACCAATACACAGAATGCTTGAGTTGCAAGTCACATTAAAACGGGTTTTATTAGCCTATTTCTAACATTATTATTCTTAACGTTAAAATAGCCATACGCGTTTTCTTCTAAGTGACTTTGCAACCACTAGTTTTGCATTGATTCTGTAGCTTTAAATTTTAAATACTGAATTTGAAAGACAGTCCGGACCAGTAGTTTGTTATAAGCAGCTGAACAGAGTTCTTAGATTGAGTTATATTTATATGAATTAATTTTTTTTTAACAGCAATTACATCTGTTGTTGTTATGCTATTTAAGAGAATAAAATTAAAACGTCTCACTGACTGTTTTTAAAAGACAGGCTACTTTTAAATAGCCTATTTGTTTAAACTATTAAACTGTCATTTAATAGTAAATTTTAAGAGCTTTTGCACTGCAATTTGAAAAAAAAAAAAATGCATTTGAACCCTTTTTAGGAAATTGTAATTAAATAATCACAAACTAATTGTTTTTATTTTTTTATTATACATATATAAATATTTCATCCTCTCTCTGTCTTGTATGTGTTCATAGTGGAGTGGGTCTTGCTCGAGCACACTTTGAGAAGCAGCCTCCTTCAAATCTTCGCAAATCCAACTTCTTCCACTTCGTTTTAGCGCTATACGACAGACAAGGACAACCCGTGGAAATTGAAAGAACTACTTTTGTTGGATTTATTGAAAAAGAAAAGGCAAGTGAAACGTTCTCTTTTGCATATTGGTTTTGCAAATTGGTATAATTATTAAAGTGTAGGCTAGATAAAATATTATTGATATTAGCCTAAAGTTGAAAGCTTATTTGCCTATACTCAATAAATCGTATTCTTGCATTAAATTGCTGTTCTGCATGAATCCCTGAAAACCTCCATTTAATTATTATATTTTTATTTATTTTTATTTTTTTTACATATTCATCCTTTATAATTTAAGAAAGCCTCATGTTTTATATTTGTTCCCTTCAGTACTTTATGCATTTACTAACGAATCTGTTGGCTAGCTATATTTTTACAGAAATATTACAGTGATAACCTAAGGTCATAAAGTTAATATTCCCTTTCAAGATGCTATTTAAAAAACATATTATTTTTATTATTGTGAAGGACCATATGCTGCTTTAATAAAAATACTCAACACAAATATAATGTTTTGTAAGCACTTGTAACTTAATCATAGTGAGCGAAGTGACTGATTTCATTAAAAGATGTGGCTATTAATGCTTACTGTATATTTAATCACTTTGTACACGTCTATACATTATTAAATTGTGAAATCACACTGTTCAACACATAAGACTTATTATTATTATTATTTAAGTATTTTTAACTCGTTCGTTTACTGAGTGAAAATGTATTTTGTACTGTTTTTGTTTGGCTCATGTGCGTTAGCAGTTTTTTTTCCGGCCTCCTGGTCCGCAAGGGAATAGCCGGTCTGACTCACGGGGTTCTTCAGAAATAGTCAAATAGGTTTTTCTTGCTAACCATCGAATTTATTTTTGCAGGAATCTACCGGAGAAAAGACCAACAATGGGATCCATTACAGATTGCAGCTTCTTTACAGCAACGGTAAGAAGAAACGCATAATCTAAGACTCACTGAATTTTGCATAAACACATCAGGGATTTACTTCAGCGCGACAATCTGAATAAAATAAAAAGACAGCGAGACTGATAGAACGACAAGGAGGGGTGACAAAGAAATAAATAATTCATTATGTAACTAGATCAAACTGATTCAAATGAATATAATGTCCTGAAATAATAATAATAATAATATACTGTTATAACAATTCGTATAATTGTTCAAACGAAAGAGATTAAAATGCGCAGCAAAGTCGTAGCGTTTTAACTATAAACATTAATGAAACACAAAACGATCCCCATTAGTGCACTTTTCCGGTTACGCGTTTTCCAGAAATGTGCACTTCATTTTTGATGGAAGCTAATGGCCTGGCCATAATGAAAGTACACTCTTTTCTGTCTACTAATGTGGTAAATGACAACCAGGCGTTTGAAAATTTGTTGCGCCAGTCCTTAACGACCCTCATCCTTTTTACAAGACGTTTTGAACATATTTTATTTTGTTAAAAATCATGTTTTCTGTAATTGTTATTTTTGATTATGTCTATTTCACTCTTTTATAAGCTGTACATTTTTCTTGTGCTTTTTCTTTCTAAAAGCTATTTTTTATTTTTAGTTTATGTATGTGGGTCTACATAAGTTTGAGTTTCATCCAAAGCCATTTTTTTCCCCATAATCCTTTAACACTGTCTGCAGTCTATGTTGGGTTGGGTTGTCTAGACATTTGAAGCATCTATGTTGTATTAAAGTCATGTCATTGTGAATGATACATTTATACCTGCCAGATTCATTTCTGATCTATGTTTGTGAATATGACCTGCATTGTATTGTGAGTTAAAGAGGACTTATCTTCTCTCCTCTACAGGCATCAGAACAGAACAGGACTTTTATGTACGCCTGATTGACTCCATGACCAAACAGGTAGGACGTTATTTCAAAATCCCCACGGTTCGCTGGTGAATCGTCTGGTGAGAGTCTGTGTGTGATATGCAGCTAGAGTGAACGTGTGCCGTGCACCCTGGTGAGTTTGGGGTTACACACTCTAGCATGCCTCAGGGGCACGAGGATCGGTTAGTGTCTAAATATGACATACTCTCTCTGGGACATCATTTAAGATGACTGAGCGTATGCATGTATTTATGTGCATACGTGTGACAGTGAGATTGATAGCTAAAGAGGGAAAGAAAGAAAGAGACTTTCAGTTGTATTCATTGTCTGGCACAGGGGATTATCCAGCGGTGCCTTTCAATGTTTAAACAGCATAAGTTTTTGAGTGTGTGTGTATGCGCGTGACTCTCTTGCATATTCAAATGTGTTGTGGGAACAGATGTTTGTTATGAACACACACGTATGTGTGTGTTGTTATAGCTTGTCATATTAACCGTGCAGGTTGTGAGCTTTAACCCTGGAGAAAAACTCATATGAGAAAACACAGGGCAGCAAGAGTGACCTCACAATCTCATATGTGGCGCTCTTCCTTTTCCCCCTAAAACAGAAACAGCCTCTTCCTCTCTCTCATTCTCTCTTTCCCACTCGCCCCCTCACTTCCTCTCTCATGATCTCTGTCTATAAATGTTGTTTTGAAGACACTTTAGGGAAGTGTATTCAACCACGCAAATAGTTGTGAGTCAAGAAGTGTGACAATAAATTTGAGTTCAAAGTTTAGTTCATAATTATGAACGAGAGAAAAATATTTAGAATACACCTGTAATCAAATAAATATGAAAAGCTATTTTGATTAATATCTAAAATAATTGTATTTCTTATGAGCTGTTTTCTTAATAGTCATTTTGTATGACAAGTAATATGTGTGTATGTGTGACCCCAGGCAGGATGAAGTGTGTATAGATATGAGGTAATTAGCAGGCGGTGTGACAGACAGCCTGCTAACGCTCCGAACACTTAGTACATCATGTGATTTAAACATGCCAGCACACTTACCCTATTGTTCCACCCTGTTGCTACTGTTTTGCTTCATTATGTGTGTGTATGTGTGCTTATTGAGAAGTGGAGAGTGAGAGAAATACTAAAACTCATCTCAGAGTTATTTTAATTTGGTGCTTATTTTGTCTAAAAGTATAAAACATTTAGTCTTTTGCAGAATGTGTTCTTAAATTTTAAAACAGAAACAGGCTCTTCCTCTCTCTCATTCTCTCTTTCCCACTCGTCTCCTCATTCCCTCTCCCATGATCTCTGTCTAGAAATGTTGTTATGAAGACACTTTAGGGAAGTGTATTCAACAGCAATTACAGCTGCGAGTAGTTCATAAGTGTAAACGAGATAAAAATATTTAAAGTACACTTGTAATCAAATAAATATGCAAAGCTGTTTTGATTAATCACTAAAATAATTGTGTTTTTTATGAGATGTTTTCATAATAGTAATTTTGTATGACAAGTAATGTGTGTATATGTGTAATCCCAGCCAGGATAAAGTGTGTATGGATATGAGATAATTAGCAGGCACTGTGACAGACAACCTGCTAACGCTCTGAACACTTAGTATATCATGTGATTTAAACATACCAGCACGCTTACCCTATTGTTCCACCCTGTTGCTACTGTTTTGCTTTGTTATGTGTGTGTATGTGTGCTTATTGAGAAGTGGAGAGTGAGAGAAATACTAAAACTCATCTTACAGTTATTTTAATTTGATCTTTATTTTGTCTTTTACAGAATGTGTTCTTAAATGTATTATAATTTGTATATATTTTTATAACAACTATAAATTAATGTATTAATTATGTAATAATTTCTAATATTTATTTTACAAGTATTACAATTATTTTTAAATATATTTTATTTTTGGAAAAAAAAAAAAAAGAGCAAATGCTACATTTTCACTAATATACTTGTTGTCATGACCCAAAGCATTCATCTCTATTCAGAAATTCCTACTACAAAATCCCTGGATGTCACACTTGGCACAAACAATTCCGCAGCTCCCCTTTCTGTATTGTGTGATTTGTTTGTGGTTTATAATTTCCTTTGCATTAATGTTTATGTGCAAGAAGCTAGGTGCTGTTACTGATGCTAGTTCTTGCCCTCGCTCTGCTCAGCGGTTTGGCCAGCGTGTAGCGGGACAGATTTATGTGTGTGGGTGAAAGGCAGGAGCGTTGTGCTGAGGGAGAGAGACTGTTCTCTGACACCCCTGAGGTAAATACAGTGGCCAGGGGCCTGGCCTCGGCTCAGCCTTTCACTGAGTGTCTCAATAAAAAGCCGTTTATCTCCCCAGGGTTGTCTCCCACGTGCACATATATTACCGACTGATTTACTGGCTATTTCTGTGGCAAACTGCCTTGCCATACCTGTTAATGATGTGGTGCCACTGAGTGAGCGAGAAAGAGAGATAGTGTGTGTGAAAGAAAGTTTGGCAGCCGAGTCAACATGCTAGCTAGTATCAGATAGTAAAGCATGGTACTTTGGTATTTACATAAAAACGTGCAAAATCTGTACCTTTAGGGGTACAACAGCTGGTCAGTGTGGCAGTACTGTTAAAGGAACAACTGCACCTTTTCATAGTAGTACCCAAAGGGTGCATATTGTCACGCTGAGGTACAAAGTTGTCTTTTTAAGGGTATCAGTGACAAGCCCCTAAAGGTACTGCAGCATTTAGTCTTTTACAGAATGTGTTCTTAAATGTATTATAATTTATATATATTTTTATAACAACTATAAATTAATGTATTAATTATGTAATAATTTCTAATATTTATTTTACAAGTATTACAATTATTTTTAAATATATTTTATTTTTGGAAAAAAAAAAAAAAGAGCAAATGCTACATTTTCACTAATATACTTGTTGTCATGACCCAAAGCATTCATCTCTATTCAGAAATTCCTACTACAAAATCCCTGGATGTTACATTTGGCTCAAACAGTTCCGCAGCTCCCCTTTCTGTATTGTGTGATTTGTTTGTGGTTTATAATTTCCTTTGCATTAATGTTTATGTGCAAGAAGCTAGGTGCTGTTACTGATGCTAGTTCTTGCCCTCGCTCTGCTCAGCGGTTTGGCCAGCGTGTAGCGGGACAGATTTATGTGTGTGGGTGAAAGGCAGGAGCGTTGTGCTGAGGGAGAGAGACTGTTCTCTGACACCCCTGAGGTAAATACAGTGGCCAGGGGCCTGGCCTCGGCTCAGCCTTTCACTGAGTGTCTCAATAAAAAGCCGTTTATCTCCCCAGGGTTGTCTCCCACGTGCACATATATTACCGACTGATTTACTGGCTATTTCTGTGGCAAACTGCCTTGCCATACCTGTTAATGATGTGGTGCCACTGAGTGAGCGAGAAAGAGAGATAGTGTGTGTGTGGAAGAGAGTTTGGCAGCCGAGTCAACATGCTAGCTAGTATCAGATAGTAAAGCATGGTACTTTGGTATTTACATAAAAACGTGCAAAATCTGTACCTTTAGGGGTACAACAGCTGGTCAGTGTGGCAGTACTGTTAAAGGAACAACTGCACCTTTTCATAGTAGTACCCAAAGGGTGCATATTGTCACGCTGAGGTACAAAGTTGTCTTTTTAAGGGTACCAGTGACAAGCCCCTAAAGGTACAACTTTTTTACACAGAAAACAAGGGGTCAGAATTGTACCTTTTTGTGGTACAACATCTTGTAACTGGAGCAATACCCTTAAGGACATATTTGTACCTTTTTTACCCCTATTAGGTAGTACCTTAAGGGTACGTATTACTTCTCTAAAGTACTAATATGTACCTAATAGGGGTAAAAAAATGTACAAATATGTCCTTTTAAGGGTACTGCTCCAGTGACAAGCTGTTGTACCCCAAAAGGTACAATTTTGCACCCCCTCCCCACACTTTTTTTTCCTGTGTGTATTGTTTTTCTGACGGTGTAGGTACTTGGTATTATCATAGTATAATGTCCAAAAAACATGGTAAATGCCGCTCAGTTCTTTCAATAACAGAAGACTTTTTCACTACATTTCCCAGAATCCCTTTCTCAAACGTTCCCATATTTGCAAACAATAACTCTTTTTTTTTTAGGGGCAAGGTATATTTACTGTTGCTAAACAAATTTTTGAGTGCGAAAAGGGTGAAAAATTTACTACCACAGATTTTGCAACATGCTCAAATTGGTCACATGGTTTTGACTCATTGACCAAAAGAAAGTTGCTTTGTTTGAATGTGACATTAATAAATTACTGACAGTGCACAATGGACACATGCATGTGAGCATACCTTTTTGTGTTAAGACCTTAAGCCTGGCTCCACTTTAGACTTTTCTGCTCTCGTCATTTGACTGCTGTTTTTTTACTCGTCCATGTCAGCGTGAAACACGGTTTAGGTTATGACAGAGTGTTAGCTGGTCTTTAAATGCCTTTCGGGAAAACCCGGTCCAAAACCACTCTGCGGTGAGCAGTCAGCCTACATATGCTGAGGAGTGCTCGCAATGTGTTTAAGATTTCCCATTAAAGCCCCATAACTCTGTACAGAGAGGCTACAGAGCGCCTCTCCACTCAGCATGTGCTGGCTTTGGCAGTGTCAGGCAGGAGGGCTGATCAGCAGGTTTATAGAGCTGTTCAACACACACTTCTCTTTAGCACTTAGCAAGGCGGTAAAGTCCAGTCGCCTGACCACACAGTTAGCTTCTGTACATACGCACAGCTATTAGAGACAATTAAACAACTTGGGCTAGAGCTGCAAGGATCAAAACAGTTCACATTCAGTGCATAAAACTGACATATTCAGCGGCCGTCTTGTGCTCACACTCCCAATAAACTCCATATAGGTTTTCTCGGTTTGCCTGTGGGAACGGTTGGCACGGGTGAGGAGAGATGGAGCGGGTGTCAAGCTGACAGGCCGTATCTGTGATCAACGCATGAGCTCATGACAGATCTGATGAAGACAATGCAGTAAAAGACTCTCTCTCTCACTCTTTATCCTTCCATCCAACTGTTTCCCTCAACAGCTGAAGCGCAGAACAAAAGCGAATCACATACACGGGCTTAATGCGCACACACACTGCGCTGACACGCTAGCGTGATGGTAACAAAGAGGGAAATGTGTTTTCATGTATTTACAGTGCATTGTTTACATGCCTCAGATGCGGCTGTCAGTTCAAGGCGGCACTGGCGGCTCTCAAACGATATTTGAGGAGCAGTTTGTGCAATATAAAATATGCATTAAAAGCAGCATCAGGGCCTAATGAAAGCTTCACACACACCTCGGCGCACCGTGCCATGCATGTTTCATGCGCTCCGTGGCCCTCCTTAAGGAGAGCTTTGTTCAGAAAAGTGCTGGGCTGGAACTGGTTGGTAACTCTGAGCTGTAGCTCGCCTGTTGCTGTGTGTGTTTTCTAGAGCTAAGCTTCGGGCAGATTCCTAAATAAATTTGCACGGGAGAGAGGGAGGTCTCGGCCGTTCTTTCTGCTTGTGTACGCATTTTTCCTGTTAATTACGGAATAGGGTGTGTTTACATGCCAGAAACACTTCCCCAAAGTACACGACATGCAACAAAGTGACACAAATCTCCTATATTAGATATTTCCTGTAATCACTAGCTGTTTGGAGACTCTGATGATGTCAGATAGGTCGTGAATGGCCGCTCTGTGCCAGGTCACATAAAGGCTTAATGCTACTCATTTGCAAATATTTACACACACGAGGGCCTAAAGATCCCAGTGATTAAGTCTACTCATCTACATTGAAAATGTGAAATCTGTAGCAAAGAAAAAGCATTCAAAGCTACTATACACCATAATCTTAAAGACGCATTTTCTCTAAATCTGAGCATAACTGAAGCAAACCCACCTGACACAAGACTGATCATAGTCTAAAACAAGGTGTTTTCAATTTTTCAACGCCAATAACCCCTAATCTATAATATTTAATATATTTTATAATATTTATTATTATTACTATTATTATTATAAAGGCTCATTTTTACTGTCTGAGAAAAAAACATGAGTATGATATAATGAATACAACATATTGTTTAGAAAATTAAATATTTATATAATTTTTTAAAATATTATTACCTTACTAAATTATCTGGAAATTATTTACGTTGGTTTTAGCATTTTATTAAATTACTTAATTTATATTGTAGATAGTACACTATATATTTTTCTGCATACCATTAGAGTCATGTTAGATGTATAAACCTAAGAAAAAAAGCTATTTAGATTCAACTTTATTTGTACAGCACTTTTCACAATAAATATAACTCCACAGCAGATTTACATTTACTTTTTACAGTCCTAAAATAGATTTTGTTACAGTATATATGTGCATGTATATATATTTTATGTTTTTGTTGGGTTAAAAGCCCTTTAAGAGACCAAAGTTCAGTCTTGACATAAACAACATGCAGCATTTTGCCTTTGCACGATAGATGTGACGACAGGGGCTACAGAAAAATCCACCCAAAGATGCTTGGTGTTGCACTAGCTCGAATCCAGAGGAGGATGCACGACCATTGTCGTGTTTGCCTCTGAGCAGAAATTGACAAACTGTTTTCACACTTGTTCCAGGCACTTATATACTGTTCTCGGCATGGAGTTATTCCGAGTCTGTTTGCAGGGGCTTTGTGTGATAAATAGCCTGGCTTATATATGAAATGAATGTGTGGTGGTGTAGAGGACGTCTTTGTGTGGCCTGAACTGCTCTCTCTGCCTCCCGCTTCCTCTCAGAAAGCCTGCGGGGTCGAGGCTCTAGGCTCAGACAGTGATACATGCTTGTGCGCTTTTAGAGGACCTTCACCCTCATTTCCACAATGTGAAACCTAACAAACAAATGTCCCCGATCACCTATGTCCTCAAGTCACAGCAATGACAGGAAATAAAAAACATCAAATATGAATAAACTTTCTTCTTTTTTTCTGGGTCTGATGCTTTACTTATAAAACTTGTTTTCAAACAAGTGTTTCATGTAATTGAAAAAGCATTGTGCACTTGTGAGGGAAATAGTTCCTCATTAGAACCATCAGCTGTTTTTCTGTGTCTTCAGTTGCCATGGGTGGCATGTATATGTGTGTTCAGAGAGAAAGAGGGAGTGATTCATGGCAAACGGGTTTAAGTGTGTGTGTGTGTGACAGAGAGCAGCCTGTTAATAGGCTGCAGTGTGTGTATGTTTTGAGTAGAGTCACTGATTCACGGCTGTGGGGGACATCTTGTGTGGAATTGGAGGATGGAAACAAAGCTGAGGTTTTTGGATGAAGTGTTAGCTGGGCCAGATGGCTCGCTATGCTCCAGTCTGGCAGCCCAACTGCTTGCCGCTCACATAAACACACACATGCTAATGCACAAATACATGCTTGAATGCATACACATGCACAGGGTCTCACAGATGCGGACTTATGGCAGCTCACATGCACACATCTTTCCTAGAGGGCTATTTCACACTAGCTGGAGTACAACACATCTTTAGAGGGACCTGTAATTAAGCAGTTTATCTGTTTGTCCTCCTTTATCTGTTTTCACTTCACAAACATCTTTTCTCATGTAGTAATAAGGGTGCTTTGCTGAGCAATAATGTTTTGTGTTTCTGTATTATTAACCAATCTGTGAGCCCCGGATGCCTGTGGGGGGTGGGCACTGTGGCAAGGGTGGTCCGCTATGACATAATAGGACAGTAATCTGCACAGTCTAACAAACACTACACACAGTTCTTTTGATTCTCCCTGTCTGCTTTTAATTAAACCAACGAGCAACAAATGATGGCTCTGAATGTTGCCAAGAGCATACAATGCAGGATTGTGCAAAATTCAGGCCTCTTTTCAATTCATGGGAGGGAATTGGAATTAAATTAGCCACAGCCCCACAGGAAGTTTAATTGGAATGACAGAAAGAGGAGTTTTCTGAATTGGAATTCAATTAAATTACACAGCTAATGCATTCTGGGCATTCTGGAATCTATCTACAGTATCTATCTATCAAATTGTCTTGACAAACTTTTTTAGTTAAAAATGACAGTTACATGAACATTCTTACATTCAGTTTGAATCACAAATTGTGTGCAGCTCTGTTACAATAAACATCTAGCATTGGTAGTTTGTGTCAAATGTGAAACAAAATAAATAAACTCATTGGCCAGTTATCAGATACAAGTGATGATGTATTAGATTGGATATTAAAGTAACAGTTCACACAAACATGAAACCTCTTGTCATCATTAAAACCTGAATGACTATTTTTTCTGTGGAACACAAATAGAGATCTTAGACTGAATGATCGCGCTGCTCTTTCCCATATAGATTCAAAAAGTACCAATAGTGTTATGTGGCGCACACAGAAATCTAAGTCTTTATTCATTGAATCACAGATGTGCACGTTCAAACTTTGTGTGTTGCCTGACACCAAACACCATTGGTTCTCACATAACCAAACGTAATGCACCAAGTTTAAGCTCTTAGAGAGGCGGTTAGGGATCGTTTTCCATTGCAGCAGGTAAGTGGGCATTAAATTGCCCACTTTGAGCCTGGCTCAGTCATAGACGGCCCACCCTGCACACAGAGACTCTGTACAAGCATTCCCACGGTGCACGTGGGCAGTTTTGATTGATTGATTAGCTGAAACGAAAAGACATCTATGAAATTCAGAGCCCAATGTGTAGAGTGAGAAACATGGGACCAAATGAACAGAACATTCTGATAACAGAAACTAAAACTGACCTGATCATTCCCATGCTGCATGAGATCTTTCAACGGCAGTCCTCTGCCAGATGGAATAAGGGTCACATAACCGCCTATGAGTGCTGCATTGTGTGTATGGCGTAATGATGTGATGTCATAATGTTTCTGTTTCAGTGAACCGATGCAAGCAGACATTCGATTCTTTTCATGATAGGATTTAAACACCCTGGGAATTAGTCATGGAAATGTGTGCATGCTCAGAGCGTTTACACCACAAGGAGAAAATGTTGTTTGTCAATTTTCTCTAACCACATTTTTCCACCTTCTCTTGTTCATCAGGCAATTATCTATGAAGGGCAAGACAAAAACCCAGAGATGTGCAGGGTCCTGCTGACGCACGAGATCATGTGCAGGTGAGAAACACACACACACACACACACACACTGTACACCACACTCCCTCCTTCACTATTACACAATCAAGCTCTTGAACCTTCCCTACCAAGCTCTGCCCGCTGACTGTGAGAGCTTTACTTTGGCATCGTTTTGGTCTTGGCAAGACTGCAGACCTCTGGATCCAGCGTTAGTGTGACAGGACTGAGCTTTCTGCTTACACACACACACACACACACACACACACAGCTGTGTAAGCCCTGTTGTAAAATTAGACATAAGGGGGAGGATAGATTAACATTACTATAAATTTGCTGAAAGATCAGATCATTATTCTTTAATTTATCATACACATCCGTCAAAACTGCATAAACAGTTTACTTCTATTTAAGAGGGATGCAGTACGTTTATATCAAGGCTCAAGTTTAGACTTACGATGCACTATTACACAAGACACACCCAGATCATTTTTCACCAGTTAAAATGGGATCCTGATAAACGTATGCCAGCCTGTTTTCTATCAGAGTTAGAAGTGTTTTTTTTTCCCCCAGACTCTGCCTCAGCCTTAGAAATCAAAGCTTGGCTTTGTCCAGAAAAGATGCCAGGCAGCATTTCTATTTTTGGAGGCTGATGTTTCAGTGATTGGTGGTGCTTATTTTATTTATTGATGGCATAAATACCCACACACAAAAGGCAAGCAGAGAAATACATTTCTGTACCTGTTCATTTTGTGTTCCAGAATTGTAATTCCTGTATTTGTACTGAATTTGAACTGAGCAATAAGGATGCAGAATTGCAACTTGAATAACTAATTGCAATTGAAATTTTAACTAAAATTTTAACTAAAAAGCTAAGTTTGTCAAGACAAACTTTGAACTTGTTTGTAATTCTGACGAAAAGTGTAGCCTTGAAGGTTTACAGAGATAGATGGATGAATGGATGGATGGATGATGTACTAGATGTCAAAGCAATAGTTTGCCCAAACATAAAAACAACATGAACAACTCACATTGTTACAAAACTGCATGACTTACTTTCTTCTGCTGAAAATAAATAGAGATGTTAGACAGAATTGATTATGCTGCTTTTTCCCCATATAGAGCCAAAAAGTACCATGAAAGCAGATAATTTGACTTAAACAACGATTTTCTTTATCCATTATTCATTCATTTGCAGATATGCATATTTAACTTCCTATTAAATTCACATTATTGAATTGAAAGGGAGCCAATTCTGAATTTTGCACATCCCTGTTTGTAGCGACAGCATAAGCAATGGAGTTTCAAGAGATGAAAAATTAACAAAGACGGACCTTAAGTTCAGAGCAACCCTTGTCTCTCTCCCTTCTTGAATCTCTATCCAGGTCATCCACTTCCTGCTCTGCAAGAAAAGAGAGCGAGAGAAAGCCATGCACCTTTAATTAAAATCAAAAGATAAATTCCTTGCACTTAAAACTGGGTTGTGGAGATGAGTCCTCATCTATTTTTGGTTGAAGTGGAGAGCATTTGAACAGTTTTCTACTAAAAATATACCACTCATGCTTGGTTAATTAGGACAAGGAAAAACTCATTACTCAATAAGAATCCTCTTGTTATTCCACAGCTAATGAATGCAGCTTGCTTTGAGTTTTGACAATGAAATATGTGCAGGCGAGCCAAGGCTCTCTCCTCTTTCTCTTTCAATCTTTCGCTCCCCCTCACTACCTTTCTTACATGCACACACACGCGCGCGCACACAGCCTTCTGTTATCGTTCTTTCAAAATAGTCACTGATTTAACGATGTGTATTGACACAAACACTTAGTACCATACGTGTCTACAAAGGCTCACCACGTCAGCTTTGATCTGCCACTGTAGGATTACACAGATCACATCTGAAGTACATATCGCTACTGGTACCCTTAAGGTCCCACAGATGCAAATGTCTGTACTCTGTTTCATACCAAAGAGCTTTCCAAAAGCAGGCGAAAATGAAAAGCATCTATTTCAAATAAGTAAAGAACTCATTCTCATCTCTATCTTCCTCCTTTTCCCCTTCTTCATCTATATATGGTGTTTCGATGCAGAGCCTGTGCTGAGAGAAAGGCACAATTACCAGTCTGCAATTAGACTGCTCTCCATTAATCAGGGCTGTTAATTGCTGTACGCCTTGCCATTAGCCATATGGTGCCGCATGGGCCTGCAAGCTTGAGACAGAGACGCATTTTCCCAAACAACTCGCTCAGAGGCAAGGCTAGAAACAATCACTCAAACGCAATTCTGGGCTCTTTATGATGGAGTTCCAGATCCTCATATGCACGGATTGATGAGGTTTTGTTTTGTTCGTGTGGTGCAGATGAAACATGACAAACTTGGCCAGATTATTAAAGGCTGGGTGGTCACAGTTGGAGAAATGCTGTTTTGTTTGGTTTTGGGGGCTATTTTAGAGCTGCTGTCTGTAAAGGAGCTGGGCTAAGGGCAGTTCAGCTGTAATGGCATCAGCGCGGGCCACATCCTGGTAATTACGTGCAGCAATTTGGATTTAATTTCTTCAAATGCTGCAGCAGGAGGAAACGCTTGAGATTAAAGATTACGGTTTCCCTGCAGGTCCGCTGGGATGGAGCAGAATGAGCCGGAATGGGTGAAAAATCCCCCTGAATGAAGCCAGAGCATGCATGGAGTCATTAGCATTGCGTTGGTGGGGGGGGTCTTGGAGGTTCACGGGTGGTGGGGGGCGGCCGTGTTGCGGTTTCCCTTGGGCTCCGGCTGACTGTTGGGTTATCGGAGTGTCAAATCCATCTGTGCCCACCCCTCGCATCCCAGAAAGCTTTGCTCCTGTGTGACCCACTTCTGAGAGAACATTGTTAAAGACTTGACTGCTCTCAGAGGAGTGAGAAAAAATGAGAGCAGAGGAAGGTAAAAATACGACAGCAAGAGTAAACTGAGACAGAAGCCCGACCACACTGTGTCCAAACTAACGAGGGTGCTTAGACGTGAATGAGGGGTCAAGCTCAATCCATGTTATCAAGCTCATCAGGTCTAAAGGAGCCCACTCACACACAGATCGGTTCTGCTCCTATCACATGACGCCTCCTATACTCTCTCTCAATTGAGCCCCTCTGCCATCTGTGCTGGGAAACCTGAACCCACCGCCCCACCTGCTGTTTACCGCCAGCCTCCATCCACCAAAGACATCATGTATACACCTCCTTTCCATCCCTCCTGTCGTCTTTCACTTGCTCATGCTCTAGTATCCATCTTGCTCTCCTCTGCTGTCCCATGCAGAGTAACCTATGAGATTAAATATAGAAAAAATAGGCGCATATTTAATCAGGCAAAAAACAACCATTCAGATGTGAGTGGGCTGTTTGACTAACATACTAAACCATCATCACACTTTGCTTGATTTTATTTGATATTTAGGAGATGATAATAGATTGCGCATCAAAACCATTATAATTTTATTAACTATAAAAATTTTGGGAGCCTGAGTGTGCCGACTTTTTTCTGTTTTCATTAACTATAAAAATAAATATCAATTAGAAAAAGTATATATAAAGTTAATAAATATATCAATTATATATAATAATAATAAATATTTTATATATATCTGTATCTTAAATATATATAACATATACACATATACACAAAAATATTGTATTTTAAAATAGAAATATATCTGATATATAATATATATTTTATATATAAATAGTATAGTGATTTTTTCTTATTTATAGTTTATAATTTTCATTTAGAATTAAAATAATTTATTTATAGAAATATTACATAATAAATACACTATATGGACAAAAGTATTGGGACACACCTTCTTTAGAACAGAAAAAGGCACTTTCAAAACTGTGGCAACAAAGATGGAAACATAATTTGTGTATTTAAAAATTGTATTTCCATCTCTGTTGAACAGTTTTCGAAGTGTCTAAAATGACTGTACCCATATATTCAAGTCATTAGTGTTTGGTGATGAGTTTTTGGCTCAAGATCTGCTTTTAAAGTCACACCAGAAGTGTTCAGCTGGGATTAGGACTTGGCTCTGACTTGGCAGACCAGTCAAAGTTCTTCCACACTGATTGAATCAATCATTTCTATTTGAACCTTGCCTTATACACAGAGGCATTGCCATGTTAGAATAGAAAAGGGTCCTGTCCAAACTGTTGCTATAAAATTAGAAGCCCACAATTCCCTAGAATATCATTATATGCTTAAACATTAAGATTTGTACTCATGGAAATAAACCTGTTCGGTTTAACTAATACTTTTGGCAATATAGTGTATATTTAAATAAAACATTTTCTTTTGGGAACACATTTGCAACACCTTAAAAAACACACACACAGGCAACTTTCCCCTTCTGTCCGACCTGAAATCCTTCCAGGATGTATTCTAAAAGAGTCCCCTTTAAGTGCCCTCTTTATTTTCACCTCTCCTCCTGTATTCTTTCCTTTCCTGCTCTCTGGCCTCGTCTTCTCTCTCCATCACTCGATAACTGCCCTGTTATCAGCCACACTTCTAATCCTTCAGTGACCGTCCCTGAGTCGGGCAGTCTGTTAGCAGTAATTACTAATACACAGGCCAAGAGGCAGCATATTGTGTGCTGTGTGTACAGCAGGAGTGAATGTCTGCCTTGGAGGAGCGAAGGAAAGACTGCTTTATAATTGCTACCTCTTCCTTCACCACTGTGTTTGAGGTCAGTGCTGACATATGTGCAGTAACACCCAGGTTAACTGCTCTCTTCCTCTCTTTCGCTCCCTCCATCTCTTTTAGCCGCTGCTGTGACAAGAAAAGTTGTGGCAATCGCAACGAGACGCCCTCTGACCCGGTCATCATTGACAGGTAAGAGCTGGATATCAGATGTTTGTATGTGCGTTTCAACATATTTGATCATTACACGCCTTGCTAGACAGGAAGTCCAGTGGAAGTGTTGAAAGTGGTGTTATTGAAATGTAGTGAATAATGAAGGCTAACACAGTTTGTCAGGGTAGATTCCATATTTAATTTGACACAGGAGCATTTTTGCTCTAAGTTTCCCTTCCACACTCCACTTTCCTAAAACAATTAAGACCCAAAATGAAAAAGAAAATACATCTTTATATCTTCATACACTACCAGTGTACACTACTGTTCAAAAGTTTGGGGTCAGTAAGACTTTTTTTTTGAAAGAATGCATTCAATTGATCAAGGATGTCATTAAAGACATTAATAATCTTACAAGAGATTTATATTTGAAGTAAATGCTGTTCTTTTAAACTTCCTGTTTATCAAAGTATTCTAAAAATCATCATGGTTTTCTGTAAAATATTAAGCAGCACATCTGTTTTCAACATGGATAAGATCAAATAAATTTATTTTAAAATATTTAAATAGAAAACAGTCATTTTAAATTGTAATAATATTTCACAATAATACTATGTATTTTTGATGAAAAAAAGAATTACTGACCCCACACTTTGTATTGGTATGTACAGGGGTGTAGTAACCCCCCCAATAACCAAATCTAGCAAGTACAACCCCCCCTTCCCCAAATATTTATACCAAGGTTAATCACTGTATACTCTGAGAAGTGTGATAAGATTTGCACGAGCCATTCCCATCACAAAGCTGATGGTCAAATATGTGATCTATTTGAATTATTTAGAGAAACAGCCACTTTAAAATGCTGTGGAGAAAGACGAACAGTATCTAAAAAGGCAAATAAACTAAAAAGACTGATGAAAAGAGGAGAAAACACTCTTGAACCAGCACTAGCATATATTAAAATCTTTTTAAACTACTCATGACCACCTTTACTAGAATTTATCACGTTTTATTGTAGGCTTATTTATTGTGTAAAATTTAGTCAAACTTGTTGTAGAATTTATATTAGATAATCTGTGAAGGGACTAGATTTTTATTACAACTTTGGCATCTTGTAGCTATTGGTTCTAAATGTGCAGGCGGTTGTTTCTTCATAACAAATGCTATATTGATTAATTTAAAAAAGTCATTATTGGCCTGGTAATGATTAATAGGCTAGTCTTATTATAACAAATGCTACAGTTAAGAACTATGGAACATGGCCTTCAGATAGGCCTATTCCAAAATATGGCATAGATTAAATCATTCAGAGCCTGATGAACTGTTAAGGAGTAAGAAATAAACAATATCATTATAAGAAAATGTTAAAATTGACTTCCCATGGCATGTTGAATTAGAACATTCTGTCAATCTATAGCCTATAAGTGCCTAAATAATATAAAATAGGCTACACACACACACACACACACACACACACACACACACTGGTTTCCATTTTTTGTGGGGACTCTCCATAGGCGTAATGGTTTTTAACTGTACAAACCATATTTTCTATCGCCCTACACCTAAACCTACCCCTTACAGAAAACATTCTGCTATTTCAGATTTTCAATACACTCCATTCTGTGTGATTTATAAGCTTGTTTCCTCATGGGGACCTAAAAAATGTCCCCACAAGGTCAAAATGTACTGGTATTACTATACTTGTGGGGACATTTGGTCCCCATA